GAGTAGCTGGGACTACAGGCATGCGCCACCATGCCCGGCTAATTTTTTCTGTATATTTTTAGCTGTCTGATTAATTTCTTTCTAATTTTGGTAGAGACGGGGTCTCGCTCTTGCTCAGGCTGGTCTCGAACCCCTGAGCTCAAACGATCCGCCCGCCTCTGCCTCCCAGAGTGCTAGGATTACAGGCGTGAGCCACCGTGCCCGGCCCTATATACCTTTTTATTTTTCTTCAAGGATCATTCTCCAAATCCACCAAGATCATCCTCATTCAATGTATATTTAGGGCCATGATAACAATAACAATATAAAAATTTTATTAGGTAAGCAAATCTGCTGAATTATAAATTTAGATCTTGTCAAAAGGAAATTTAAACTCTTTCTGAATTTGTACTTCTAGCTCTCTTTATTTGAAAAGATGAGATTTTATTATACTTTATATTTTGTGGAATGACATGAGTTTTAGCATGGACAAAAAAGTTAATGCATTATTTTGCGAGAAAACAACTACTTTAATAAAACATGATAACAGCTATGTATTGCAGATACTACTCTTTGTTTTTACAATATCCATTATGTTTTAATGCATCACCTATTTACTGAATTTGATGTTACTGCTTGCAAGGTGCTTTTTCATTTTATTCTCATCACAACTCTGTGAAGGAGGTATTATTATTTGAAAATAGGGAAACAGGGTTTAGAGGGGCTTTGTGGCTTGTTAAAAACAAACATATTTGTTGAGCATGGAATAATCATTAGAGAAATGCAAATCAAAACCACAATGAGGTATCACCTAACCCCGGTGAGATTGGCCTCTATCAAAAAAACACAAAACAACAAATGTTGGCGAGGATGTGGAGAGACAGGAACACTTTTACACTGCTGGTGGGACTGCAAATTAGTGCAACCTCTGTGGAAAAGAATTTGGAGATACCTCAGAGAGCTAAAAATAGAAATACCATTCGATCCAGCAATAGCACTATTAGGCATCTACCCAAAAGAGCACAAAACATTCTACGATAAGGACATCTGCACCCGAATGTTTATGGCAGCACAATTCACTATTGCAAGAATGTGGAAACAACCCAAGTGCCCGTCAATCCATGAGTGGATTATTAAAATTTGGTATATGTTTACAATGGAATATTACTCAATCATAAGAAACGACAGTGATCTAGCACCTCTTATACTTTCCTGGATTAAACTTAAGCCCATTATCCAAAGTGGGGCACCACAAGAGCAGAAGAACGGGATCCATTTGTACTCACCATCAAATTGGTACTAACTGATCAACACTAGGTTGATCACATGGCAGAAATACTCTCTACGGATTAGGGGGATGGGGGGCAAATCTACAACTAAAGGACACGGGGAGCACTAAAGGGAGGGAAGGGCATGCCTTTAACCTGCATTTGGGTGAGGCAAAGACATAGAGTGTAACTATAATGTTTGTACCCTCACAAAACCCTGGAATAATAATAAAAAAAAAACTCAAAAACAAACATATTTGTATATTATTATATCAATACTTTATTTATTTATTTTTCTTTAAACATTTTATTGACAGAACTTTGCTGAAGGCCCAGGGCAGGTGGGGGTTCCCTGGGTGGCCAGAGAGAGGGGCGAATTTGGCTCCAGGTGGGTGGAGGGAAGGACAGCTGAGGCCCAGGAGCCAGCTGTCAACAGCTACTTGTGCGCCGGGGCAACCTGGGAGATCGTTGCTATCCCGAATAAGTCCCTGAGCAGCACGTTGTTGTGGACGGCCATGTCCAGCAGCGCTGGGGTGATGTGCCTCCTGCCGCTGTCCTGTGTCTCGTTGCCTGCCAGCTCTAGGACCTTGGCCATCAGGTACTGGAGGACGGCAGCCAGAAATACTGGAGCACAGGAGCTCAGCCGCTGGGCGTAGTGGCCCTCCCGCAGAAGACGCTCCATATAGCTCACGGAGAATGCCAGCTCGGCTCTGGCTGTGCGAGAGCGGGTCCGCCTCTGATGACGGGACGACCCTCGACGGCTCTGGTTGCCCGTCATGCTGGACGTTGCGTGCGATATCTCCGCCCGGCCTAGCTCGATGCGATGCCTTAAGATGCCAGTCCTCTGTCCAGTACTCTGTATCCTAACGACCACGGACCAGTCCCTCATTGGTCGGGGAGCCGGCTGCGTGACATGCACGTCCGGTGGCGTCATTGCCTTCCAGGTGGCACGTGGCAAGCAGACCTGGGCTTAGAAATGGCAGGCAGTGGGGTGGGAGGATGCTGCTCACCCTCTTCCCTGAACCCTCTCCTTGTGGGAACTCCCGCTTCCTACTGGACGGGAACATGGTGCGAAAGATGGAGGCGTGGGTACGACTCAGTGCCCTTAAGTACATTCACAATGTTGTGCAGCCATCACGACCATCTAGTTACAGAACATTTTCACCACCGGCAGAAGAAACCCCTGTACCCATTAAGCAGTCACTCTCCATACCCCGCACTACCTCCCATGTACACACACACCCACACACATGCCATCGCCACCCCACCACCCCCACACTCCCCATAGTCCCTGGAAACTGATAATCTGCTTTCTGTCTGTGGAGGTTTACATATTCTGGAGATTTCCTATAGATGGAATCATACAATAAATGCATGGCCTTTTGTATCTGGCTGCTTTCACTTAGCATAGTGTTTTCATTGTGGTTCATCCATGTGTATTCTGTTGTATGAACAGACCACATTTTGTTTATCCACTCATCAGTTGATGGGCGGTTAGGTAATTTCCACCTTTTGGCTATTGTGACTACTGCTGCCATGAACATCCCTGTATGACTTTTTGTTTGAACACCTGTTTTCAGTTATTTTGAGTCTACATCTAGGAGTCAAACCGCTGGGCCATATTGTAATTCTATGTTCAACTTATCGAAGAACCAGAAAACTGATTTCCATAGGAGCTGTACCCTTTTACATTCCCAACAGCAGTGTATGAGGGTCCACATTTCTCCACATCCTCAAAAAAACTTGTTTTCTGTTTACTTCATTTTCTTTTGTTTATAATAGCCATCCTAGTGGGTGTGAAGTGCTATCTCATGGTGGTTTTGATGTGCATTTCCCAAATGGATAATGGTGTCGCTATGGTTTGAATGTACCCCCCAAATTTTATGTGTTGGATACTTAACCCCAAAATTCAGATGTTCATTGGAGGTGCAGCCTTTGGGAGACAACTAGAATTAGATAAGGTCATCAGGGTGAGACCTCCACATTGGGACTGGTGGCTTTATGAAAAGAGGAAGAGAGACCTGAACTGATACACACGCTCTTGCCCTCTCACCATGTGACGCCTTCTGCCACGTTATGACACAGCAAGAAGGCCCTCACCAGATGCCGGTGCCCTGCTCTTGTACTTCCTAGCCTCCAGAACTGCAGGAAATAAATTTCTTTTCTTTATAAATTACCCAGTCTCAGATATTCAGTTACAGTGACAGAAAATGGACCAAGACATCTTTTCATGTGCTTCTTGGCCCTTTATACATCTGTTTTGGAGGAACGTCTATTCAAGTCCTTGGCCCATTGTTTAATTGGATTGATTGTCTTTTTGCTGTGGACTTCTTTACATATTCTGGAAAATAGACCCTTACCAGATATGTGATTTGCAAATGTTTCTCCCATTCTGTGTGTTGTCCTTTCACTTTCTGGATAGAGTCCTTTGTTGCACAAAAGATTTTAATTTGGATGTAGTCCAATTTGTCAAAAAAAAAGTCTTTTGTAGTTGTGTTTTTGGTGTCATATTGAAGGAACTGCTGCCTTACCCAAGGTCATGGAGATTTACATCTATCTTTTCTTCTGAGAGTTTTATAGCTTCAGCCCTTACATTTAGATCTGTGGTCCATTTTGAGTTTATTTTTTTTTAACACGGTGTTAGATAGAGATCCAGGTTCATTCTTTTGCATGTGGCTATCCAGTTGTCACAACACCATTCATTGAAGGGATTATTCTTTTCCCCATTGAATGGTATTGGCACCCTTATTGAAAATCAACTGTACATAAATATATGGGTTTATTTCTGACTCTAAGTTGTATAACATTGACCTAATATATCTGTCATGATGCCAGTACCATACTTTATGAATTACTGTAGCTTAGTAGTAAGTTTTGAAATTGGGAAGTGTGCGTCCTTCAACTTTGTTCTTATTTCTTTGAGATCATTTTGGCTATCTGGGTCCCTTGCACTTCCATAGGAATTTTAGGATCAGCTTTTCCATTTTTATGAAGAAGGCAGGTTGCATTCTAACAGGCATCGCCCTGAATCTGTATATTATCTTAGAAGTTACAGCCATCTTAACAATATTAAGTGTTCCAATCCATTAACACGGAATGCCTTCCCATTTATTTAGTTCTTCTTTGATTTATTCCAGCAATGTCTTGTCATTTTAAGAGCACATGTCTTGCACACCTTTTGTTAAATTTACTCCTCAGTATTTTATTCTTTTTGATGCTATTGTAAAAGTAATCATTTTCTTAATCTTAGATCGTTAGTATATATTTATTGCTAGTGTATATAAATACAACTGATTATTGCACATTAATCTTGGATCCTACAACTTTGCTGAGCTCATTTACTGCATATTCAAATAGGGATGAGGTGGGTATCTAAGAACATGCCATTTATGAATAGTGATGGTTTTACTTGTTCCTTTCCAATCGGGATGCCTTTTCTTTGTTTTCCTTGAATAATTACAATGAATAGAACTTTTTTTTTTCAGTCAGCATATTTTTTTAATTTTTTTTATTACAGCATATTACGGGGGTACAAATGTTTAGGTTACGTATGTTGCCCTTGCCCTCCCCTTGAGTCAGAGCTTCAAGAGCGTCCAACCCCTAGATAGTGTGCATCACACTCATTATGTGTGTATATACCCATCCCCTCATCCCCGCTCCAACCTGCCCAATGCTCAATAAATGTTGTTTTTATATGTGCATTTAGGTGTTGATCAGTGAAACCAATTTGCTGGTGAGTAGATGTGGTGCTTATTTTTCCATTCTTGGGATACTTCACTTAGTAGAATGGCTTCCAGCTCTATCCAGGAGTATACAAGAGGTGGTATATCACCATTGTTTCTTATAGCTGAATAGTACTCCATGGTATACATATACCACATTATATTAATCCATTCACGTATTGATGGCCACTTGGGTTGTCTCCACATCTTTGCAATTGTGAATTGTGCTGTTATAAACATTCGAGTGCAGATGTCTTTTTTTATAGAATGTCTTTTGTTCTTTTGGGTAGATGCCCAGTAA